AGGGGGGGAATAAAAAATGTTTGGGGTTGGGAATGAAGGAATGTCTACACTACCCGGATTGAATCAAATACAATTTGAAGGATTTTGTAGATTCATTGATCGGGGCTTAACAGAAGAACTTTTAAAGTTTCCAAAAATTGAAGATCCAGATCAAGAAATGGAATTTCAGTTATTTGCGGAAACATATCAATTGGTCGAACCCTCAATAAAAGAAAAAGATGCTGTATATGAATTACTTACATATTCCTCTAAATTATATATATCCTCGGGATTAATTTGGAAAAACAGTCTGGATATCCAAGAACAAATTATTTTTATTGGAAACATTCCTCTAATGAATTCCCTGGGAACTTTTATAGTAAATGGAATATACAGAATTGTAGTCAATCAAATATTGCAAAGCCCCGGTATCTATTATCGGTCAAAATTGGACCATAACGGAATTTCAGTCTATACTGCCACAATAATATCAGATTGGGGAGGAAGATTAGAGTTAAAAATGGATAGAAAAGCAAGGATATGGGCTCGTGTAAGTAGGAAACAGAAAATATCTATTCTAGTTCTATCATCAGCTATGGGTTCGAATTTAAGCGAAATTCTTGCGAACGTTTGTTACCCCGAAATTTTCTTGTCTTGCCTCACTGAAGAGGAGGAAGAAAACATAGGGTCAAAAGAAAATGCCATTTTGGAGTTTTATCGACAATTTGTTTGTGTAGGCGGAGATCCCATATTTTCTGAATCTTTATATACGGAATTACAAAAAAAATTTTTTAAACAAAAATGTGAATTAGGAGGAATTGGTCGGCGAAATATGAACCGAAGGCTGAATATGGATATACCGGAGAACAATACATTTTTGTTACCGCGAGATATATTGACAGCTGCGGATCATTTGATTGGAATGAAATTTGGAATGGGTACACTTGACAATATGAATCATTTGAAAAATAAACGTATTCGTTCCGTAGCAGATCTCTTACAAGATCAATTTGGATTGGCTCTCGTTCGTTTAGAAAATATAATTAGAGAAAAGATGTGTAGAGCAATTAGAGATAAATTGATCCCGACTTCTCCTATACAAAAAAAATAAAAAAAAATGGGAAGATTTAGTTACGATTGGAAACTAATTTTAGATATCTTTCTCCCTGGATCCTTTACTTATATTCAAAAATTGGGATTCTTGTGCAAAAACTTATGTTTCATAATTTTAGAATAAATTCTAAATTGTATACAAATTACGATAATGTATATTATTCCTCGAATTGCTCGTTGAGAGGTATAAAGGATGAAATCCCTAAAAGTAAGAAATAAAGTTTTTGATCGTGATATGAATCACGAAAGGGACCCCTTAACTATTAAGGGATCGTTAGAACGAATCGCACTTTTACCACTAAACTATACCCGCTACAATACCATTTTTGTATATAAAAAGATCTTTTGTCGAACAAGGGAATCAGTCATAAATAATTCTGAAATAGGTGCAGAATTTTATGATAAATAGAGTGTTTACATGTTTCGTAAAGGCCCCCTAATGAAATTTAGAAAAGGGGGCAAATCTCATTTTTGGATTTTATTTTTGGATTTTGTTGAAGGTATTTTGACAGATAGATCTCGACAAAATTACTAAACTAAATTCATAACACAAAAATGCATTATGCAATGCAAGAATCCATAGTTCTATTTCGTTTTTTAGATACGTTACCTGATTCATTCGTATGAGATACGATCACAAAGTTATTTTTATTTTTGTTTGATCATATTAAAATGTTTGAATTAATTAAAAGTTTGTTTCAAATCTGATACAGAAAAATAAATCGTTGTTATCCAGGATTCATGGGAAAAAAGAGCTGTGCCAGTACCTAGCTGGACTCTGGTTGGATAAAAAAACAAACTAAAAAAGAAAATATAAAATTATAGATTTAGATTATCTATTTAGTATAATGATTTATATCTATTTAGTATAATTATTTATTACTATCGTATTTAGTATATATATATATACAATTAATATATAACTCAATCTATATTTATGAGTTAATATAGAATTAGAATCAAATAGAAAAAAGATAGATAAAATATATCAAATGAAGATCCATATCAAATAAATATTGAAGCCTTTTTTCGAGCCCTGCGAGGTATCATAAGCATAATAATTCCATTCTTTGAATTGGGGAGAGATGGCTGAGTGGACTAAAGCGTCGGATTGCTAATCCGTTGTACGCATTTTTGTACCGAGGGTTCGAATCCCTCTCTTTCCGTTTATTGATGATTTGCCATTTTTTTCTTTTGAACTTATGGAATTTCTTTTTTTTTATTCCCTGTTTGTTTCATTTTTTACTAGTTCTTTTTGACTAGTTAAAGATCGAAAATAGATAGAAAAACAAAAAATAGTTCAAAATCAAGCACAAGTAAGGGAAAGAAAAAAGATTTTCTTATTCTTCACGTCCAGGATTACGTCCGGGATCATTAGATAGAAATCCGAAGATGAAAAGAGAAACAAAGAATATCACTATCGTGTAAACAAATAGTTTTAGAGTAAGCATTACAAAATCTCCAAGATAATTAAAAAAAAAAAACGACAGAGAAAGAGAATAGATTCTCTTCTATTTCATATTATGTTTCCTTAAAAAAGTTCCAATTTGAGTTTTCTAATAAATTCTTACTTTTTTTAGGACATTATTCAAATGAAAGATCTTATCGAAAACTTACAGCAGCTTGCCAAACAAAAGCGAAGAGAAAAAAGAGTAAGGGTATTACTGGCATAAAATCTACAATTGGAGTCAAAAAAGCATAAGCTTCAGGTAATTTCCCCAAGAAAAAACTACTTGAATAAAGGACAGAGTTAATACAGACCAAGCTAAAGATATGAAGCATAAAAAAAAATGTTGTTCTTTAATAAAATGAATTGTATTTTTGCTTTTTTTTTTTTTGAATTCTAATTTTTTTATTTTTTATTATCTTACTTATTATTATATATATTCTTATATATATAAGATATGATTTATTATATATATTATTTAATATCCACTTTTTTTTTTTATACTTTTATATTAAAAATGAAATCTAAAAGAAAAAAGAAATATGGTCTAACTTGACAAAAGTAAATATCTATATAGAATAACAAATGGGGCGTGGCCAAGTGGTAAGGCAGCGGGTTTTGGTCCCGTTATTCGGAGGTTCGAATCCTCCCGTCCCAGATGATATCGATTCAATTCATCACATTGACATGAATCGATATCATAGGTTTTTCGCCATAAACCAAAAATAAAAAAGGCTGTTCTTGGGTGGGGATATATTGTTCATTCATATAACTTTCAATTACTTATTAATTATTAAATAAATTAATATACGAATTAAAATTAAATTTGATAACTATTCGATAAAATAAAAAACAATGACTATTCATTATATAATATTTTAATTTAAAAAGGAATAAAAATCTATGGAAAGACAAGGGTTCAATTCGATGCTGTTTACTAGAGGTATGCTGTTTACTAGAGGTTTAGAATACAGGTGTGGTTTAAGTAAATCAATAGATAGTTTTGGTATAGATAGTTTTGGTCCTATTGATGAAAATAACGGTGGAGACCCATCTAGTTTAACTGATATGCATAATAACATTCATAGCTGGAAGAACAATAGTGAAAATTGTAGTTATAGTCATGGTCATGCTGACTATTCAGCAGATGTGAACAACATACATAATCATAATTTGCTATTTGCAAAAAGTCTATCCGTTTGGGATAGTCATAATAATAGTTATGACATATATTATGCTTATAATGATGATAGTTGGACTTATAACATGAATTGTTGCATTTGGAATTATCTTCGTTCTCAAATCTGGGAGGATATTGACAAATCCATTAATTGTTGCATTTGGAATTATCTTCGTTCTCAAATCTGGGAGGATATTGACAAATCCAATGCCAGTTACCGTGATATGGACTTTAAGAGTTACATTTGCGATAGGGGCCAAAATACTAGTGAAAGCCATAGTACAAATATAATAATATTAAGGAACACAAATGCTAGAAATCAGACAGCAGATCCAGTATTCTTTCTACCACTATGTTAATAGGGAAATTCTAATTTTTTCGATATAGAACACTCATGTCGATAAAATGACTTGAATTCTCTGTATGATGAAAAATAGGAAAAAAGGTGTTTTGTTTAACGCCTCCGTTTCTACTTTTCTACAATGCGGAATTGATGACCTACGTATAAATTAATCATAATTCTTTGGATTTCAAGAAAAAAAAACAACTTTGCTGACAATTATTTGTTTGCTCAGAAGAGTCCTCCAAATATTTGGGTCTTGTATTGATAATCATTTTCAAGATTTTTAGAAATAGAGAAAAGAGGATAGGCTCATTCCCTAATAAATAGGGGGGAATTTCCTATAAGGAATTGAGTGTGAGAGCCAAATGAATTGAAAGATTCATGTTTGGTTCGGGAAGAGATCATAGACATTTGGAAATGAATGGAAAGAGAATCTACTTTCATTAAGTGATTTATTAGATAATCGAAAACAGAGAATCCTGAGAACTATTCGAAATTCAGAAGAACTACGGGAAACAGCCATTGAACAGCTGGAAAAAGCCCGGGCCCGTTTCAGGAAAGTAGAAATGGAAGCAGATCGGTTTCGAGTGAATGGTTATTCCGAGATAGAACGAGAAAAATGGAATTTAATTAATTCCATTTATACAACTTTGGAACAATTCGAAAATTACAAAAATGAAACCATTCATTTTGAACAACAAAGGGCGATTAATCAAGTCCAACAAAGGGTTTTACAACAAGCATTACAAGGAGCTCTGGGAACTCTGAATAGGTGCTTAAACAACGAGTTACATTTACGTATGATCGCTGCTAATATTGGTATGTTTGGGGCGATCAAAGAAAAAAATAACTAATTAGTGGTTCTACTATAATAGAGAGTATGGAGAGGCCCTATTTTTGTTTTTTTTCGAAAAAGAATCCAATTAATAAAAATATTCATGGTACCCATTCGTGCAGATGAAATTAGTCAAATTATCCGTGAACGGATTGAGCAATATAATACCGAAGTAAAAATTGTAAATACAGGTACCGTACTTCAAGTAGGCGATGGCATTGCTCGTATTTATGGTCTTGATGAAGTAATGGCAGGTGAATTAGTAGAATTTAAAGAGGGTACAGTAGGCATTGCTTTGAATTTGGAATCCAAAAATGTTGGTGTTGTATTAATGGGTGATGGTTTGATGATACAAGAGGGAAGTTCCGTAAAAGCAACAGGAATAATTGCTCAGATACCAGTAAGTGAGGGTTATTTGGGTCGTGTTGTAAATGCCCTAGCTAAACCTATTGACGGTCGAGGAGAAATTTCAGCTTCGGAATCTCGGTTAATTGAATCTCCCGCTCCCGGTATTATTTCCAGACGTTCCGTGTATGAGCCTCTTCAAACGGGACTTATTGCTATTGATTCTATGATCCCTATAGGGCGTGGCCAGCGAGAATTGATTATTGGGGACAGACAAACAGGTAAAACAGCAGTAGCTACAGATACGATTCTCAATCAACAGGGACAAAATGTAGTATGTGTTTATGTAGCTATTGGTCAAAAAGCATCTTCTGTGGCTCAAGTAGTAACTACTTTACAAGAAAGAGGAGCAATGGAATACACTATTATAGTGGCTGAAACAGCAAATTCCCCAGCTACATTACAATACCTCGCGCCTTATACAGGCGCAGCTCTGGCTGAATATTTTATGTACCGTGAACGTCACACTTTAATCATTTATGATGATCCCTCCAAACAAGCACAGGCTTATCGCCAAATGTCTCTTCTATTACGAAGACCACCAGGTCGCGAAGCTTATCCCGGAGATGTTTTTTATTTACATTCGCGTCTTTTGGAAAGAGCCGCGAAATTAGTTCAAATGGAAGAAAAAAATCTGTTGATAAATGAATTCCAATTTGTTGACTAGTACTTATCAAATCTTGCTCAATAATCTGATTTGGTCTTGTAGTCCAAATAATTCCGTACCATGATGTATCGGAAATAATAGTGATTAATGAAACAAAAATACTTGTACAAACTATCAAAGTAATTCCATCCCCTACGGTCCAAAGATTCAAATCTTGGTATAGGAATAAACAAACCATGGATAAATCTAAGCGACTGTTTGTTAAATCATCTAAGCTACTGTTTGTTAAATCGAAGAAGAAGAAATCAATTCGTAGGAGGTCGCCCCTAATCCAATTTGGGGATCGAATTGATTATAAAAACTTGAGTTTACTTTTCAAACTTGTCACTCGAGAAGGCAAAATTTTATCTAGACGTGTTAATAAATTGACCTTAAAACAACAACGATGGATTACGATTGCTATAAAACAAGCTCGTATTTTATCTTTGTTACCTTTTGGAAGTTCGTCACCTCTTCTTAAAATTGCAAAAAAAAAATATGAAAAAAAATATGAAAAAAAAAAAAAATATGAAAAAAGCAAGTCGATTACTAGAACTCCTGTTCTAAAAAAAAAAAAATAGAGTTACTTTACTTCATTAATTGAATCTAAACTCAAAGTTTATGCGGATTGGTATTTTTTTTTGAGCGTGGTTTATTATTTTCATAATTCATATGAATTCTATTTTATCATACAAATCTCTTTTATTCTACCACCTTCCCGGAGTTCACTCTCCGGGGAAGTTTTATTAATGATATCGTTGGCAATCGTAAAAAGACAATCCCCCTTTAATATAGCTATTTGTGCAACGATTTTACGATTAAGAAGCAATTGATTCTTGTACAGATTATACATTAAATTACTATAGTAGATTTTTTCTTTATTCTGTCGAATTATTGCATTTATTCGACTGATCCACAAACTTCGAAAGTCCCTTTTTTTCCTATCTCTATCCCGCTGAGACGAAACCAAAGCTTTTCTTCTCTGTTGCGAAATAGTTCGAGTAAGAGCTCCGCGAAAGCTTGATGTAAAGGAACGACTTTTTGTCCTCCGTTTTCGAGCGATGGATCCTCGTTTAGTTCTGATCATTGGATAAATGAGACTTCGATGAATAACTATTTTGATTTTTTCTTTCAGTTATTCTTTTATCCTTTCTAGTATATTACTAACAACATGGATTCTTCCAATATATAAAATAAAAATTCCAATGGCTTTTGCTACTATAACCTTCCCAACCACGATTTTTTTTCATTTTTTCTAAGTATAAGTATTGAAACTCTAAATAATAACTTCTATTGATACTAGGTATGCCAAAAACCATAGTAAATAAAATAAACAAAGAAATGGTGGGTTCCATCGTTTCTATGATTACTTGTTAAACGGTGAGGTCCTCTCTATACACCGGAGCCCCTTCCTTCATTGAATCTTGATTCAATCAATGTTATTGTGAATTTGTACAGTTCACACTTCTGGGCTCTACCCATGAAATATCTAGTAATAGGTCTTTCACAATGAAATCTAGCTATACAGTAACGGTATTTAAGTATGAAGATTAGCTGGGTAGTTGACCCTCTTAGTCCGTTCTAAATTTAGGGCATAATTTGTTTTTCTTTCAAATAGGATTTTTCCCGCTTAATGGGAAACTACTTTATCCCCAAGGGGAATATACTTTGCATCTTAAATTGAAAATGAAGGTGATTTGGTTTGCACCAATTGAGAAACCATAAATTTGATACAAAATTTATACACAATAGAATTATATATATACAATTCTTATTAATAGAATCGATTTTTTAATTTGAGTATATGATCTAAACGAGTCGCACATACACCCTATTACATATTAGCTCTTCATAACACAATTACTATATCATAACATAATCAAATAAATACAAAAAAAGATAGAATATCCCATATTTATTTGATATTCTAGTATATAGAATATGATACAAATCGGAATCATTTAAAAATACGAATCCAAATTATTTTCATTACCAATTACCTAGAATACTCTTTTTATCCATTTATCTAATAATTAATAATTTATCCAATATTTTTGGATCCATAAAAAAAGAATTGGATAAAAAATAATTTTCATCCATATCATATAGTAAGATTCTCTTTTTTTTTTTAGTTTTGAATTCCATTTTGGAATATTTGGATTCTTCCAATTTCTATTATTTATCTATTTCGATTATTAATAATTCATATTTATTATATGTATTTATCCCGATCCTTATTATTTTTATTTATATAATTTGAATTATGAAAAGTAGAATGGAATTCGATAGGAAGATTATTTCTATGTATATCTTCTTTATATATTCTTTAATATTCTAGAATACTTTCTATTTCATTCTATCTAGATTAATAGATAGAATATATCTATAGAAAATAGTAAAGAGTATATAGAATATTATCTTTAATATAAAAAAATATTACTATAAATAAATATTTTAAGATATATATAATATTCTTTCTTAATATTATTTTATTGAATTCAATAATGACTAATTAGATTACAGTTATTTATATTCAATAATGATTATGCATTAAGATGAAATATGTATAATGTATTTTATACATATAATATAAAAATATGGATTTATACATATCCATTTGAATTCTAAAAAATTGGATGGATTATCCAAAGAAATTGGATTGGATAAGTAATGAAAAATTAGATCCTTCTATTGAATTTCTAACTGAATATCGAAATCTAAATTAATAAATAGATTTTTATTATTTTCGTTATAAGGTCTGTATCGGTCTGCTCGAAGGAAAAAAAGAATCGAACGTTAGAGTATTCGAAATTCTATCAAAAAAGAATAGAAGGGGTACATCTAAAATAGAGATATATGTAGTATATATCTCTGTATATTGAATTGCGAATACAGAGATAATAGAATCATTTCTGATTCGAGTAAATACGGGTATCTGATATAGATGAAAGAAAATCTATCAACAAAAAACAAATAGAAGGAAATTTTAATTTTCCCAACCCAATATGGGAGTAGATTTCAACAAATAAATTCAACAGTTCCAGCATATAATTCTCAGAATACAAATGAAAAAACATCCTAATGCGATATGATATCAATCTCAAAGAAAAAACGGGGGATATGGCGAAATTGGTAGACGCTACGGACTTAATTGGATTGAGCCTTGGTATGGAAACTTACCAAGTGAAAACTTTCAAATTCAGCGAAACCCTGGAATTCAAAATGGGCAATCCTGAGCCAAATCCTTCTTTCCGAAAACAAATAAAAGTTCAGAAAGTGAAAATAAAAAAAGGATAGGTGCAGAGACTCAATGGAAGTTGTTCTAACAAATGGAGTTGACAACATTCAATTGATTAATGAAGATTTCTAACTTCTATTTGTAAATATTTTTTTGAATATAAGTAAAGGATCCAGGGAGAAAGATATCTAAAATTAGTTTCCAATCGTAACTAAATCTTCCCATTTTTTTTTATTTTTTTTGTATAGGAGAGAGTGAAGCAAAATAGCTATTAAACGATTTTTTTAGTTTACTAGAAACATCAATATATTTTTTTAGCTCGACGGAAATTTTATTCTTTTCCTAAAGATTCTATCAAATAGAAATAGAGAACGAAGTAACTAGAAAAAAAAGAGATTGTTCAAATACTCCTTTTCTTTCTATAGGGATCATCTAAAAAGCAACGTGAATTCTATTCATACCGAAAGGCTGACATAGATGTTATGGGTCATTTTTTTTTCATGTATTCCATCTATCTCTAAAATTATTCTGTAAAGGAGCTGAATGAAACAAAAGTTTCACGTTCGGTTTTGAATTAGAGACGTTCATTCATAAACGTCGACTATAACCCTTAGCCTTCCAAGCTAATGATGCGGGTTCGATTCCCGCTACCCGCTTATATTCTATTTCTCTATATATTCTATTCTATTTTTTATTTAGTAAATTTCTTTAGTTAGTTTTAGTTATGAATATTCAATTGGAATGATTTCATTTCGTCTTATTCTATTTAGAATTTAGAATAATTATTATTTCGATATTCAGATAGATGGAGGAGTATTTTATAGAATTCTTTTTTTTCTTTCCCTTTTCACGAAATTTTCGTGAAAAGGGAAAGAAAAAAAGAAAAGCGTCCATTGTCTAATGGATAGGACAGAGGTCTTCTAAACCTTTGGTATAGGTTCGAATCCTATTGGACGCAAATTTATTACATATTGAATTTATTGCAATTGCATATATATTACTTGAATTCGTATATTTCGAAAACTATATTGTGAATTTCTTCTCTTTATTATTCTTTTTGAAATATGGAAAGAGACTAATTATCTAGAAAGGTATGAAATTTGGAATCAATTTTTTTCTACTTGTTCCTGAAGTAAAAAGAGTTCCATCTGTTCCTGAATAGCTTCCTTCAAAATGGCTTCTGCTTCCCCAGTAAATGTCTTGGTCGAAGATATGATTTCGTTGAATTTCGGTTTATTCGTTTTTAAATAAGCCCGTAACTTAACGAGAAATTTCCTTACCTGTTGAATTTCTAATGAATCAAGATAACTATTCGTTCCAGTATAAATTGAACATGTAATTCGAACCAACCCATATGCTCCCATTTTTCTCTATTTATTTTTTTATCTATCTGTCCTATTTTTGAATATTCTAGGGAATTGGATTAATAATAATAGATTCTAACTGAAAGTTTCGTCCAATAATTGCCTTCAAAATCTCGTATGCATCATAGATATGAAAACCAAATGTTTGATACTCGAAGTCATGATTGGATGGATTTTTCTATTCTTTTTATAGACATATCTTCTATTTTTATAGACCTATCTTAAAGAAATAATAGAAATCAATTTTGATCTTTTCTTGTATTCGGAAAAAAGATATTTGGAAGTCAAATGACTTGTCTGTTGGAACTTAGAATAAGCCCTCCCATTGGAGGAGAGGAGTAGCAATTGATTCCTAGGAACAATAAGATATTATCCGAAATATAGACGGATTCTTGCAGAGTTCGAACCAAAAGGGTATT